TACGCGGGCACCATCTTCGCGGGGATCCTCCTCATATGGTTCTACAGAGCCACCCACATCCCGGAGAGGGGCGACAGCAGCCTGGGGTGGCGGGCGGGGCTCGGGCTGCTCGTGGCCGAGCTCTTGTTCGGCCTCTACTGGCTCCTCACCCTCTCCGTGCGCTGGAACCCGGTCCGCCGCACCACCTTCAAGGACCGCCTCTCGGAGAGGTGAGTGCCTGATCTGCGCTGCGCTTTTTTCCTTCTCTCTCGTAGAGCAGAGAGTGTTCGACGAAATGGCTAGTTGGACAAGTAGAACTCCCACGAGAATATCAGTTCAGGGGCTTGCCTGTGGATCACGCCAAGTCCAGCAACTTGCATCTGTGATCCGTGAAGGCTTACTGCTGAAACAATGTGACATCGAGACTCGAGAACAAACCTTGCATTGCATTGTATGACTGCAGCAGTGTTGTTAGCACATCCCCCGTTTTCTGTTGCATTCCAGATATTTTGCACAGCTAGACCAAATTACTAAATTCTTTTTCAGCTGGGCTGAAGCCTGAAGTAGATACCCTTTGTCATGCCTACTCAGAGTTATGGATACAGTTGAAACGTCACACCCATACTAGAATATGGTTCCAGAGTTGTGGATACAATTGAAACATTGCACCCATGCTAGAATATGATTCATTTACATAGATATATTTCAGCTAGGAGTCACGGCTACTACCAAATCAGATGCTGTAATGCTCCATCCAGGACCTCCATGGATATTGTAATGCTGCACATTCATGGCTAGTTACTTGGTTCAGATAGTGTGATATCTGCATAACGTCATATGAACACAACTAGTTCGACTGTATTATCTATGTCTGTGGTGAATGACTTGTTAAAGTACTGGCCACAAACAGATATGATGATGACCAGCTCCCCGGTGTGGACATATTTGTGTGTACAGCGGACCCAGCTCTTGAACCACCCATGCTTGTCATCTCCACGGTTCTGTCTGTTATGGCTTATGACTATCCGCCAGAGAAGCTAAACATCTATTTGTCTGATGATGCTGGTTCCGCTGTAACATTCTATGCTCTTCATGAGGCATCTGAGTTTGCAAAGCACTGGATTCCATTTTGCAAAAATTACAAGGTGGAGCCCAGGTCACCAGCGGCCTACTTTGCCGAAGGAGCTACCCCTCATGATGCTTGTAGCCCTCAAGAATTGCTCCGCATGAAGGTAGATCACAACCTTGTTCTGCATCTATCATGATGCAATTTAGCTTATCTCAAAAGAAATGATGTTCTGATGCAGCCTGATACAATATTTACTGGTGTTAGGGCCTGCTGGCCTTCCATTTTTCCGTGTAAGACTGTGAAACCAACACATTGTTTTCCCCCTCTTTTGTGAATTGCAGGAGTTGTACAAGGATCTGACAGATCGCGTGAACTCGGTAGTACATTCAGGCAAGATTCCCGAGGTTCCAGAATGCAACCACAGAGGCTTCTCTGTATGGAATGAGACGATAACTTCTGGAGATCACCCTTCGATAGTCCAGGTAAAAAATGGTAGTTTGGTCAGAGTCTGACTACTAGATGAAGTGCATGGTAATTGATTTTGAAATTTAAAATAATATGATAACTATGAAAGTGTGAAAACCAACTCGTGTAGCTAATAGAAAGCTGGTGAATTGGTTATAAAAGCTAACATATAAGAGTGTTGGTGAATTGAAGTGTTGTGGAAAAAATAAGTATGTTTTTATGTTTATCAAGTACTCCCTCCTTTCCAAAATAAGTGTCTCAACTCTGGTACAACTTTGTACAAAAGTTAATACAAAGTTGAGACATTTACTTTGGGACGGAGGGAGTAGTACCTATGTAGAATAATTCTAGGCAATCTGTCTCACTATTAAAACTATTCTAAAAGGAGCTTCCATGTTCGCTCTGAGAAGCTAGAAATCCCACAGTAGTCAGAGGAAAAAGAAAAAGATATACACCGCTTATTTTAGTGGCTCCGTAGTATAGCGGTGCAAATTAATCAGTGTACAATAGAGCAGTTATTACAATTATAAAAGTTTAAGCATCATGTTGGTGTAAAAAATACAATTGTTGTTTAGTTTTTTACTATGCAACCATGCAATTGATAGTGAATTCAGGTAGTTAAAATAAAAGCATAGGTGCTTGTTTGGCTGAATGTAATTCAACCTGATGTAAGACGAGCCTGACATGGTTGATATTCATCCAGTGAAGAATCTACCTTCACAGAAAACTGTAATAGAATACTACTCCCTCCGTCCCATAATGTAGGACGTTTTTTGACACTAATGTAGGACGGAGGGAGGAGAATTTATCTTTCTTGTCTGCATAATTTTGGTGATCCCATCTAATCAAATGGTTCTCCATTGCTAGATTCTAATTGATAGGAACAAACGGAAGGCAGTTGATGTAGATGGAAATGCATTGCCAAAACTTGTGTATATGGCACGCGAGAAGAGACCTCAGGAACAACATCACTTCAAAGCTGGATCATTAAATGCTTTGGTAGGTGTCCTCTCTTGGTATAGTCAATGATTTTCTAGAATTACCATTTAGAATCAACCTTCATTGTGTTTATATACCTTAATAAGGTCAATTGTGCAGATAAGGGTATCTTCGGTGATAAGCAGCAGCCCAGTCATTCTGAATGTTGATTGTGATATGTACTCCAACAACTCTGAGTCCATTAGAGATGCATTGTGCTTCTTCCTAGATGAAGAGCAAGGTCAAGATATCGGTTTTGTGCAGTACCCTCAGAATTTTGACAATGTGGTGCACAATGACATCTATGGCAATCCCATCAACGTTGTCAATGAGGTCAATCGAAAGATAATATAGCACCTCCTAAAATTTCGACGAAGGACACATCTATGTCCGAAGCTGTAATTAAGACTAATCTGGTTTGTTGTTTCATTGACTTGATGTTCAGTTGGATAACACTTGCTTGGATGGATGGGGTGGAATGTGTTACTATGGCACTGGATGCTTCCATCGCAGGGAGATCCTCTCTGGACAAATATATAGTAAAGATTACAAGGAAGATTGGGCTAGAGGAGTGGGGATAGCAGAAAATGCAGATGAGCTGGAAGAAACGTCCAAGTCACTTGTGACATGCACGTATGAGCATAACACCCCGTGGGGCATTGAGGTCTCTTTATCCCTTTCTACAAACCTGAATATGAACATTTTCATCGATCCATTTCTCTTTAATTAATATATACAGACAATCCTTCAGCAATGCCTGCAGGATGTTCTTCCTTCTATGTGTGTACAGTTATACAGATCACATATTGACGCGTTTGTGTTTCTGAATTGCAGAAAGGAGTTAGATATGGGTGCCCACTGGAGGATGTCATCACAGGATTGCAAATCCAATGCCGCGGGTGGAGATCAGTGTACTACAACCCGGCTAGAAAGGGCTTCTTAGGCATGGCTCCTACCTCACTAGGCCAGATCCTGGTTCAGCACAAGAGATGGTCAGAAGGGTTCCTCCAAATATCCCTCTCCAATTACAGTCCCTTTTTATTAGGCCATGGTAAGATCAAGCTGGGTCTTCAAATGGGTTACTCGGTCTGTGGCTTCTGGGCCCTGAACAGCTTCCCCACCTTTTACTATGTCATCATCCCTTCACTTTGCTTCCTCAGTGGCGTCTCTGTTTTCCCTGAGGTAATGATTAACATTCTACAGTATGTTGCCAAGCTCATTTTTACACACCGCAGTTGGTTCTGACACGATACTTGCATGTGCAACTCATTCAGATAACCAGCCCTTGGTGCATTCCATTCATATACGTCGTGGCAGCTTCATACTCCTGGAGCCTAATGGAGTCGCTGCAATGTGGTGACACTGCAGTGGAGTGGTGGAATGCACAAAGGATGTGGCTTATGAGAAGGACCACCTCCTACCTCCTGGCGGCCATCGACACGATTGGTGGAATGCTGGGTGTCTCCGAGTCCGGATTCGAGCTGACGGTGAAGGTGGACGAGTCGCAGGCTCTGGAGAGGTACAAGAAGGGTAAGATGGAGTTCGGGCCCATCTCGGGTATGTTTGTTATCATCACCACGATCGCGCTGTTCAACTTGGTGTGCTTGGTGCTCGGGCTGGGCAGAGTTGTGTTGCGTGAAGGCGCGGCAGGGTTGGGACCTTTGTTTCTGCAGGCTGTCCTCTGTGTGGCCATAGTGGTCATCAATGCCCCGGTCTACGAGGCCCTCTTCATCCGCAGGGACAGCGGAAGCCTGCCTTATTTCGTCACCCTCGTTTCCCTTTGCTTTGTGTCGTCGCTCTGCCTACAGGCTATCTAGAAATGAATTCGGCGTGACAACGATGGACAGACATGAATGTGGAATGTTTGGGTTTGAGCCTTGCTATGAGTAACATTTTGAAACAATCTATTTACACGGCTCTGAACTTCCAATGTTATTGGACAGCTGCGACAGTGATGCGGTATTCTCTACACCCGTACGATTAACAGCTAGTGATGCATCATCATTTTTGCATATAGCTTAGCCCTGTCATCTGGTAGTTGCGCAGGGCAGGTTCCACATCGAACGGGGCATCTCGGCTTGAAGCTGCCGGTGGCAGGCAGGATGGGGTCGTGCAAGCAGCCTGAACATGAGGTGAGCCAGTTTACGCACGCACCTTGAGGCTGAGAACATCTGAAAGATGTATCCGCATGGTATGAGCAAGTTTCTTTCTTACGCGGAAGCCATACATCACGCCTGGCGACAGGGCCACGTACGACCGTCGCATAGTTACATCAACATCGTCTCATCTCATCTCATCCCCGAAGTGGCAAAGTGTTTGTGTATGTGCGATAGTAGTACGTTTGTTTATAAACGAAGCAGCGGCATTGACACTCCCCTCTCCTCCATCCCATCGCATTCGCATTCGCGCGACACTCCGCCCGATCCCCGCCTCTTCATCATCCTCCTCCTCCTGGCTCAAGGCTGCGTGGGGCTCGGCGACACGCAGCAGAACCATTTCTTCTGCAATATCAGATGGGAATGAATGAATCTCTTGAGAGAGAGGAGGAAGAAGAAGAAGAAGAAGAAGAAGAAGTACCGAAGTGTTGGGCCTGGAGTTGCTGTAGGATTGGTTCATCTTGGAGTCGGGCCTGGCGTCCTTGCCGTCGGCGGACTTGCTGGCCTTGTGCACGTTGACGGGGGCCTTCTTATCATCCCTGGCCTTGCTGAAGATGACCGTGAACCCGTCGGCGGAGGCCGGGTTGTTCACGTCCCAGGCGCCGAACTTGGGGATTGTGCGGCCAGCCTCCGTCTGATCCATTTTCTTGTTTCAAATGCATCATCACATTATTTGTTTGCGACGACATTAAAAGAAGATCCATATATGATCAATCAAGGCAGTGCAAACAAGATGAACCAGAGATGGACGAATCCATAGACGTAAATTCACGCAGGATCTTTATCAACTCACCGACATGTTTTGCCTTGACGGGGTGGCGCGGTGCCCTTGAGCGGTAGACGCGAGAGAAAATTTTGCCCCCTTGAATGGATATGAAGCGCTTCGGGGCAAAATTTCCCCCGGGATGAGAGGGAAGGCGGTCAAATATAGCAGGAGGAGAAGATCGCAACGGCACTTATACCCGCTAATCTCATGCATGCTCTGCGTGGGACGTTGGCTACCTTTTTTTAACACGGAGGCTCTGGTTTCGGAGGCAGCAAAACGGCCTAGGGTCCTCGTGGCCGGCCTTGCGCCGCATGTTAAATGCAAATTAACGTCACTGGAACCTGGTTTCGGATGAAATACAAGAGAAGCACACATTCATACTGTCATCTTGTAATCTTTCTACTACAATCCAAGAAAGGGCACCAAAAAAATTCAAAAAATTGTTCCTGCCATAGGAATATAGGATTACACTACGGCCATGAAAAGAAAAAGAGAAGTGATATCCTACATTTTCTTCCCACTGTGTCTCGTGTATATATGTACCTGGCTACTAGGCTACTAGCTAGTTACTGTTCACCCATCGCCAATTGGCGATATATTGTACAATGTAATCTATATATGTAATGGAATCTTGAAGCTTTGCGCGAGCGATCACGAGATGGGACAGAGATCAGGTGGCATGCACGTTTGCATGTTACCGTGTGCCTTGCGGCCGGAATTTAAATTTAAACATTGCGAAAAAATATGAAAAAAATCACGCATGTTCACAGCACATATTAAGATAACCCCTAAAAAATTCAGATCAAAATTCGAAACATACATCAAGAAACAAAAAAGAGAAATCTGTCATGAGGAGATGCTCATCTCTTCCCCACGCGCCGCGCTGTTGAGCCGCTTCATTTCCACGAGCGCTGCCACCGCCATGGTGAGCGCCATGAGGAGGCGCCCGGCACCCATCCGCTGCAGCTGCGATGGCTCACCATCACCGCTCGAGGAGAAGGTCCTCAACGCAGGAACTGTAGAATATGTGAATTGCATGATGTATTGCTCATGTGCAAAGGCACGTATATATGATGTACAAGAGGTGGGCCATGGTCTCAACTATACAAGGAACTAGGAGGTGGGCCCAATATACAGATATGCACAACATATATACTCACCCCCCCTAGTCGAAGCGGCACTGCGTCTGACGCAAAGACTGGACCGGAACTCCTAAAATGACGCCGTAGGCAAGCCCTTGGTCATGATATCGACAAATTGTTGGGAAATAGGGACGTGTAGAACACGAATATGGCCAAGGGCCACCTGTTCCCGAACAAAGTGGATATCTAACTCAATATGCTTGGTCCGACGATGATGTACCGGGTTGGCGGAGAGAAAGACAGCCGAGACGTTGTCGCAGTAGACCACCGTAGCACGATCCACAGGACAAGAGAGCTCCTGGAGCAACTGGCGAAGCCACGAACACTCGGCGACGATGCTGGCCACCGCACGATACTCAACCTCAGCACTGGAGCGAGAGACCGTAGGCTGCCGCTTGGACAACCATGATATGAGTGATGGTCCAAGGAAGACACAATAGCCCGAGGTGGAGCGACGAGTGTCAGGGCAGCCCGTCCAGTCTGCATCGGTATAGGTGGTGAGGGCGGTGTCAGCGGAGGCGTAGAGCGTGATGCCGAGCTACATAGTGTCGTAGACGTAGCGAAGAATCCGCTTGACATCGGCCTGGTGAACATCCCGAGGGGCATGCATATGAAGACACACCTGTTGTACGGCGTACTGAATCTCCGGTCGAGTCAGAGTGAGGTACTGGAGAGCACCAACGATGAACCGTTAGAATGCAGCATTCGAAGCGGGAGAACCATCCAAGGAGGAGAGCTTGGCCTTTGTATCAACAGGCGTAGCGGCGGGCTTGCAGTTAAGCATGCCAGCACGATCCAGGAGCTCATGAGCGTACTTCCGCTGATGAAGAAAGAAGCCATCCGGACAGCGCACCACCTCAACACCGAGGAAGTAGTGCAAAGGACCCAAGTCCTTGATGGCGAACTCAGCGTGAAGACAATTGATACGTCTCCAAAGTATCTATAATTTATGAAGCATTCATGCTATTTTATCATCTGTTTTGGATGTTTACGGGCTTTATTATACACTTATATATTATTTTTGGGACTAACCTATTGATGTCTACTACACAACCTTCTTCTTGTAGACGTTGTTGGGCCTGCAAGTGCACATGTTTGTAGGACAGTAGCAAATTTCCCTCAAGTGGATGACCTAAGGTTTATCAATCCGTAGGAGGCGTAGGATGAAGATGGTATCTCTCAAGCAACCCTGCAACCAAATAACAAAGAGTCTCTTGTGTCCCCAACACACCCAATACAATGGTAAATTGTATAGGTGCACTAGTTCGGCGAAGAGATGATGATACAAGTGCAAAATAGATAGTAGATAAAGGTTTTTGTAATCTGAAATAATAAAAACAGCAAGGTAACTAATGGTAAAAGTGAGCGTAAACGGTATTGCAATGATAGGAAACAAGGCCTAGGGTTCATACTTTCACTAGTGCAAGTTCTCTTAACAATAATAACATAGATAGATCATATAACAAGCCCTCAACATGCAACAAAGAGTCACTTCAAAGCAACTAATAGCGGAGAACAAACGTAGAGATTATGGTAGGGTACGAAACCACCTCAAAATTATTCTTTCGGGTCGATCTATTAAAGAGTTCGTACTAGAATAACACCTTAAGACACAAATCAACCAAAACCCTAATGTCACCTAGATACTCCATTGTCACCTCAAGTATCCGTGGGCATGATTATACGATATGCATCACACAATCTCAAATTCATCCAACCAACACAAAAGTACTTCAAAGAGTGCCCCAAAGTTTCTACCGGAGAGTCAAGAACGTGTGCCAACCCCTATGCATAGGTTCATGGGCACAACCCGCAAGTTGGTCACCAAAACATACATCAAGAGGCACATGATATCCCATTGTCACCACAAATAAGCATGGCAAGACATACATCAAGTGTTCTCATAAAATACTCAATCCGATAAGATAACTTCAAAGGGGAAACTCAATTCATCACAAGAGAGTAGAGGGGGAGAAACATCATAAGATCCAACTACAATAGCAAAGCTCGGGATACATCAAGATCGTGCCATAGAGGGAACACGAGAGAGAGAGAGAGAGAGATCAAACACATAGCTACTGGTACATACCCTCAGCCCCGAGGGTGAACTACTCCCTCCTCGTCATGGATAGCGCCGGGATGATGAAGATGGCCACCGGTGATGGGTTCCCCCTCCGGCAGGGTGCCGGAACGGGCTCCCGAGAGGTTTTTGGTGGCTACAGAGGCTTGCGGCGGTGGAACTCCCGATCTATCTTGATATTCGATGTTTTTAGGGTACGAGGGAATATATAGGCGAGAGAAGTCAGTCGGGAGCTGCTCGAGGGGTCCACGAGACAGGGGGCCGTGCCCTGTAGGGGGGGGGGGGCGCCCCCTATCTTCTGCGCTCCTCGAGGGTCTTCTGACTTGATCTCCAAGCCTCTAGGATGATATTCTTCCAAAAAATCACGATGCCGAAGGTTTCATTCCGTTTGGACTCCGTTTGATATTCCTTTTCTTTGAAATACTGAAACAGGCAATAAAACAACAATATGGGCTGGGCCTCCGGTTAATAGGTTAATCCCAAAAGTAATATAAAAGTGTATAATAAAGCCCATAATCATTCAAAATAGGTAATATAATAGCATGGAACAATCAAAAATTATAGATACATTGGAGACGTATCAAGCATCCCCAAGCTTAATTCCTGCTCGTCCTCGAGTAGGTAAATGATAAAAATAGAATTTTTGATGTGGAATGCTACCTAACATGATTCTCAATGTAATTTCTCTTTATTTTGGCATGAATGTTCAGATCCAAATGATTCAAGATAAAAGTTCATATTGACATAAGAAATAGTAACACTTCAAGCATACTAATCAAAGTAATCATGTCTTCTCAAAATAACATGGCCAAAGAAAGTTATCCCTACAAAATCATATAGTCTGGCTGTTGCTCTATCTTCATCACATAAAGTATTTAATCATGCACAACCCCGATGACAAGCCAAGCAATTGTTTCATACTTTAGTAATCTCAAACTCTTTCAACTTTCACGCAATACATGAGTGTGAGCCATGGACATAGCACTATATGTGGAATAGAATGGTGGTTGTGGAGAAGACAAAAAGGAGAAGATAGTCTCACATCAACTAGGCGTATCAACGGGCTATGGAGATGCCCATTAATAGATATCAATGTTAGTGAGTAGGGATTGCCATGCAACGGATGCACTAGAGCTATAAATATATGAAAGCTCAACAAAAGAAACGAAGTGGGTGTGCATCCAACTTACTTGCTCACGAAGACCTAGGGCACTTTTGAGGAAGCCCATCATTGGAATATACAAGCCAAGTTCTATAATGAAAATTCCCACTAGTATATGAAAGTGAAAGCATATGAGACTCTCTCTATGAAGAACATGGTGCTACTCTGAAGCACAAGTGTGGTAAAAGGATAGTAACATTGCCCCTTCTCTCTTTTTCTCTCATTTTATTTTTTATTTTTCTTTTTTTCTTTGGCCTTTCCCCTTTTTTTCTTTTTGTCCTTTCTTATTTTTTTTTTCTTTTCTCATTTTTTTTCTTTTTGTAAAGTCCAAAGTCTCATCCCGACTTGTGGGGGAATCATAGCCTTCATCATCCTTTCCTCACGAGGACAATGCTCTAATAATGAAGATCATCACACTTTTATGGATTTACAACTCAAAGCTAGAACAAGGTATGACTCTATATGAATGCCTCCGGCGGTGTATCGGGATATG